CTCTCTCTCTTTTTGAAACAGGGTCTTGCTTTGTAGTACAGACTGGCCTCGAACTCGAGGCAATCTTCCTGCTTCAGCCTCCCATGTGCTGGGATTATAGTTGCGCGCCACCACATCTGGCTCCTCTTACTTTCTCCTCTCTCCCTCCTTTCTTTTCCTTCTTCTCTGCCTCCCTTCCCCTCCTTCCCTCCTCCTTTTCTTCAAGAGGGTCTCACTATGTTTTCAGCTGGCCCCTAATACCTGGCCCAAGCTACCTTCCAGCACCAGCCCCTGAGCAGGTGGCCCAGGAAGCCCTGCAGGACTTTTTCTACAGTGGAAAGCAAGATCCAAGAGTGTATAATGTGAGCTATCTTTGGGGGAAAAAAAAGGACAGAGAGAATAAACATACCTATTACCTTTCAATTGGTCTTCTTTCAAAAAATTAGAAGTATAAAATAAGAGCAACAACAAAATACTGTAATGCACCTAAAGGAAGCCGTTACATTTCCCAATATGCACCATCTTCCACTATCCTTATATCAAGACCCACGGCCACATCACTGCCCCGACCCACGCTGGGTCCCCACATCCTGCCGCCCCTGCCCACCATCCCATGCCCTTTGCATGTCTCACCATGACGGTTCTGGCGGGACCACGAGGCTCTCCCTCTTCTCTTGCCCTCCCAGTGCGCACAACTGTCCGATACCACGCAATATACCGCGTCCTGATTGGCTCATCATCCACGTGACTGCCATTGGCTCTAACAGCTTGAGGACAGGCCCCACGCCAAAACCCCAATCGTGATTGCCCACTTCCACTGGTGACATGACTCCTTCTGATTGGTTGTCATTTTGGCGGGAAGAAGTGACCCAGAAGGAACTTTCTAGATGGTGCTGACTGCAACAAGTGGGGCTTGGCCTCTAGAATTCCCGCTGATCAGCTGCACAAGAATGGCCATGGGACCAAGAAGGAGCCACATTATAGTTTTTTATGCTACGTGAATGCTCTATGTGCTCAATCTCACTACTGAGCTTTAGAGGTTGTAGGGTGTTATGAGGGTCACTATGAAAGGATGTTTGGAACTTTCGCACATGCAACGATATGCAAGGGTTCTAGGCAATCCTTTATGGTGCTGATGTTTGCATAGCCAGCTGCTAAGATTTTAAGCTCCTAGGTAACCTGACTCGTGCATGATTGTG